ATAGGCTGGGACTGCACAGGCCTCAGTTATTATCTTTTTGATTATTGCCATACTAGTGGGTATGATTGTGGTTTTACTTTGAACCCATCTGTGTTTTTTTTTTATTAAGAACAGATTTCTTGATGATGACATATAGTCAGATCATGCTTTTTAATCCCTTCTGATGATCTTTGCCTTTTTCTTGGGGTGTTTAGGTCATTAACATTTCAAGTAATTATTGCTATGATTGAATTTAAACCTTACTACTTGTTTTTTTATTTGTTTCATTTTTTCCTTTACTCCTTTTTTTCCCTCTTTTTCTGCCTTCTTTGAGATTGAATATTTTTAATGATCCTATTTTACCTTCACTTTTGGATTATTAGTCCTCTGTAAAAAATTTCATAATTTAGTGATTGTCTTACTTTTTTACAATGTATGTCATTAATTTCTCAATCTGCCTTTAAATAATATTATACTATGTCATTTTATTATGTCAAATCCCTCGCACCATTCCTTTTTTTGTTGTTATACATTTTACATGTTAAGAAGCCCACCATATATTGTCATCATTTTGCTGTAGTTTGGGAGTTGACAAGCTTGTTTTGTTATGGGCCAGATAGTAAGTATTTTTAACTTTATAGCCAGTAAAATGGCTTTTTTGGCCATATTTCTGTCACATATCTGTCTTTTAACTCTGCCATTGTTGTGAGAAAGCAGCCATAGAAATTATATAAACAAATGAGTGTGGCTGGATTGGTCTACAAGCCGTAGTTTACCAACCCCTGCTTTAGACAGTCAATTATGTTTTAAAATACTTAACCATAAGAAACACATGTCTATTTTATTCATCTTTGTTTCTCAAAAGGAAATATGTCATTTCTGTGGCTACCTTCAAGAGTTTCTCTTTGTTTTTGGTTTTCAGTAGTTTGATTATTCTACATCTAGGTCTTCGTTTTGTTTTGTTTTTATTGCTTGGGTTTATCTGAGTGTCTTGGAACTGTGATTTGGTTTTTTAAAATTTGTTTTAGAAAATTCTCGTTCATCATCTCTTCAAATGTTTCTTCTCCATTCTCTCTTCTTCTGGAACTTTAATTACACATTAGATTGCTCAATATTGTCTCAGGTCTTGTGTGTCCTATCTTATTTATATATTTATTTTTGTTTTATTATTTTTTGACAGATTTTTTCCTCTTTGTCTTTTAGTTTAATTTTTATTAACCTGTCTTCAAGTTTACTTGAACTTTGCCACCCACCTAATTAGGAACGTTATAATTTAAATTCTGTGCTTCATATTTTCTGGCCCATATTTTAGGTTGAATTTGGACCACAGCCCATCAGAAGGCCAGCTGATGGTTACACATTCTTAGGAGACATCACTACCAAGGTATAGGTAATCAAGTTTCTTTTATTTCACTCTGCTGAGAAGCAGATTTATTTCTTCACTCTTTGAATGTGGGACCCTTTGAGAACCTGAATTTCATCAAGGATTCTCTAATGGCATCCTTACTTTGGCCTCTGTTTCTCCTGTTTATCTTCTATGACAGTGCGAATGCTCAAGGTCTCTAGAATTCAGCAGAAACTCCCAGGGGTTTCTCAGAAAAGACTATTTATTGCTTCTTACCTTCCAGAATTCCTGATTTTGGACTTTTGTGGAATCTTTCATCTGTGGTTACTTAACAGAATTAAAAAAAATTTTTTTTTGCTTTGTTTTTTATCAGGATGAGTATTCAGGGTATCTGTTCTGCATTATGCCGACAACAGAAGTCTCTCCTCATTCAGCGTGCCACACTACGGATGTACTGTAGTTTTGAAATAGCTTTTTTACTAAGGGATCTAGGTCCTTCCTTCTGTCCTTCTTTTCTTCCCTCCCTCCCTTCCTAAAATTTTTTTTGCACGTATATCTTTGAACACACATGCAAGTAGTTTTCATCACCAGTGGAATGTGGCAAAGAAGCAAGATAGGCTCATTTTTAGTCAGCCTGTTCTGTGCTACCGAATTTGTGGATAACCTAAATAACATTAGAATATGTTTTTAGATATCCTCTAAAAATTTCTCACCAAAACAAAATGCATTATCATAAACATTTGTTGTCTCTGAACAGTGTATGTCCGGGTGACCATACTTTGGAAGAGTACCCAAAAGACATCATTGCCACTGATCCTGGATTGTGTTTTGGGCATGTGAACAAAGTGGAAGTCATGTACCAATTCAAAACAGCTTCTGATAGTTCTCAAACAAAACCAAAGGCCATCATAAAATCATGTTTTTCAGATGGCATAATTGAGGAAATGAAATAGGCTACAAGCCTTGAGAGTTGACAGTGCAGGGCCACATGGCATTGATTTTCAATGTAGAAGCCTTTTACAAAGCAGAGACTCTAGTCTGGATTTTGTAATTCTGAGTATTGTAAGCACATTCTGTGTATGTCATTTGTCATATAAAAATAATTTCTCTCTTCATGGTTTATTTTTCCTTTGTGGTACATTCTGGACTCCAGAATCCTTTACCACTTTCCATAAACTATCAGGCAAGATCTCTGTGAGCATCTCTGCTTTGAGAAACTCTGTACATAATGTTTATTTATGATGTGTGACTCAATTACATTGTCATGATATATCCTTTATCTTCAAAATAGTCTCTAATAATTCAGTGCCTTTTTAACAACAGATAAGGTGTTTTCTAAAGACTCTTTTCAGAAATCTAAATGTTTCTTGAGGCCCTTTTCAATCTCCACACCATGTATCTTTGGCATTTTTAAAATTGATGACTAAACCAAATTTCCCATAACTTTTTAAAAAATTTTGACTGTGTAACTACTCTTTGAGGTAGGCATCAAGTTTACTCAATACTCATCCTTGTTTATAACTTTCAATGGCTCAGATGTCCTTAGGCTTAGAGTAAATGAGCTGGCTTTGGTGACATCTCTCTGGCCTTTGAAGTTGGCCCAGTCCAGTATAGCTACCTCAGGGGTGTGTGGCCATGGAAAAACATGTTTTTGTTGTTGAGTGTTCTTGCTTTCTAGTAATTTTATTTTCTGCTCAAGGGATTTAGTATCTGTTCAGATACTTTATTTTTAAAGGCCACATAAGTAATGACTTGACCTCTAATCTTAGCTTTGAAAATTTCCCAGACACTAACAAAGATAATGTCTGATGACCTATTATTTGAGAATACTACGCACTGGCCAGTGATCAGTGCTATTTAAAATGTATATTTTACTTGGAAAATGATTTCCATGATTAAAAGACTAAGTAAAATTGTGCATGTAGTAACATATTTGGTGACTCTTGGGCTTAGATTTATAATACTTTTTATTTTTACAAGGTAACACTGAGACTTAGGACAGTTCAAAACAATGTTTCTCCTTAAATATTATATGAAATACAGATGTTCCGCAACTTAAGATGAGGTTATATCCCAATAAACACATTGTAAGTTGAAAAATTGTTAAGTTGAAAATGCATATAATACACCTGACCTACCGAATATCAGAGTTTAGCCTAGCCTACCTTAAATGTGCTCAAAACACATTAATCTACAGTTGGGCAAAATCCTCTAACACAAAGCCTATTTTATAATAAAGTGTTGAATATCTCATGTAATTTATTTTGCATGTCGCTTTCGTGCCATTGTAAAGTCAAAAAACGGTAAGTCAGACCATCATAAGTTGCAATTAATTCTGAGAAAAACATTCTGTAAACCATAATCTTATCAGAAACAGCACCTGTCTCTCTGACTAATAATAACATTTGGATACAAAGGTTTTTATAGTAATTCATGTTTTGCATGAATGTAGGCTATCTTTGCAGTAAATATATAAGTAGATTTTTACAAAGGACCAAGTTACTATTGAAGACTAGGATCTTCAGTTAAATATCTGGACTGTCTACATCAGGACATGGGCTTAATAATTAGTGGAGTGGAAGAGAAGTTCACCAGGCCATATTAATATGTGCCAAGGTGTATTCGTGAAGAAGAGGCGGGAAATAGCAGTTTTCTCCCAGGTATCTGGGCAAAGCTAGAGTTGCTCTTTTTGGTCTGTTTTTACTTGTCTTGTATCTATAGCAGAACCTCTTGCTAAGAACCCACCTAGACAGTGTTTTTGTGGTGTTGGTAGAGGAAACTGCATGATGTGACCTTGATGTTTTCTTGTTTGGCTTTTTAGTAAGAGATGTTGTTTAGTTGTTTGTTAGAAACTCTTAAGTTATGTATAGAGAGAAGAAACAGTCTGCTTAATTGATTGTAATCTTTCGATGAAATCTGTTATAGCCTAGTTGGACAATCCTGAAAGAGATTCGAGTAATTGAGGTTTTCCCTTGGTTCCAGTGGAAGGGAAATATTTCAGTTCACTTACTTGAGGCTATAAAATAATTTGTTCTTCCTTTCCCCACAGCAAGAATTATGAACATAAAGTCACAAAACAGATTCAGTGTTAATTTTTAAAGCTTCCCTATATTTCCACCCCTCATCAGTTGTAAATAATATGCCTGACTATAAAATGGAAAAAGTTGAAATTTTCCACTTGTGCATTTTGAGCTTTTCAGAGGTATTATACACTCTGGAAATAATAATAAAAGATACTAGGCCTTATACAGTGCTTTTTGTGTTAGGAACTCATATAAACACTAATGCATTGATCCGAACACAGTACTTGATTGTGACTTTAAAAGGTCATGAGTTACTGCTGTTACAAAAAAATATAAGAAAAGATTGGAGGAGGAGCTCTAATTTACAAATATTGTTTAAAAAATATCTAGATAAAAGTGGATACAGATAACTGGAAAAATAAAAATTATGGGGAATTTCTATTGTTTGTTAACTTTTCTCTTAGCTCGTAATAGATATTTGTCCCTTTATTTTTTTCGTTTATCTATGAATATACTTGAAACCTGATTCCTTTCTTAGACAAGAAAGCAGAATTTACTTTTCAGCTTTTATTTCTTTTTAACTTAGAATGCTTAAACCTGTAGTAATTTCCTGAGTTTGCCACCTTAATTTTCAACTTTTTTGTGTTTTGTAGGTTTATTCTTCAGTCCAAGGAGGTAATTCACAATCAGCTATTAGAGAAACAGAAAATAGCAGAAGAAAAAATTAAAGAGTTGGAGGTAAGTTTTGAGTGAACACCGATAGTAATCAACTTTTAGGAAAAGCATAATTATCTCAGTGTATCATGTTATATTAACGTGTATGCCCGCTAAGGTCATGTCACATTGCTTTCGTTTTTTCTAACTGTGCTAGAGCTATGAAGCAGTCATAATCATGGCAGTGTGGAAGACAAAAAACAAACAAACAAACAAACAAAAAAAACTTCTTGAAACTAGAGAATTTTAAAGAAGATAGGATGCTGTTAATCTGAGTGTATTTTCTCCATTGCCTTTGAATGAACATGCCTGTTCTTAAAAAACAAAAATAAAAAAGCCACATGTATTTAAACATCACGTATTGTGGTGGAAAGGCATGAGCATGGGTAATGATAATGGTAGTTAGAAAATCTTGATATATGTCTCTTTTACACATTGTATTTCCTTTAAGTAGATTGGATTCTAGACAAAGACTGAGTAGTAAACTGTAACTAATTAACTATCTGAAGGATGGCGTTCCAGTGAGGAAAACAATTTTTTTTAGGTAGGGAAAAGATTATAGGTAAGAGTAACTTGGTAAATCTTTGGCAGATTGGAATTGTTTATTAAAATGTCCTTACATATTAAGAACTTTGATGAGATATTCTTCTTGGGCTGTGGCGAAAGGTGCATCCTGTAAATAGTAAAAGTTGGACTGGACAACAAACTGTTATTATTTCTTCGGGACCAAGATTTCCTGAGAAGGGGGTGGATACAATGACTTCATAGGTCACTTTATCTAATTTGTGTGAGTACTATTTGAGGCAGTGGTTCAGAATCTGACTCAGCCCTCTGCTGAATTGGTGAGACACCCCCTTACACTCCTGGGGATTTCTCAGGGCCACCGATTTGGCATGACCTGGTGAGCACGTAGTGTCTTAGGTTACTTAGGCATATTTTTGTTTGACTACCGATGATAATTTAAACAAACTTGATAATAGATTTATTGTTTAGAAAGATGTAAAAATAAATAAGCAAACACAGAAAAAAGAAAAGAAAAAAAACTTATCTTGCAGTAATCAGGTTGCTATTGTATCTGATTTTATCATTTTTGTCAGCCCAACTGTTCTAGATTGAATTTTATATCTTCTAGTGTTTTCAAACAAAAGTATCTTAACTTCAATCAAAATTGTTTTGTGTAATTAACAAAAAATGTGTCTTTGCAACTGTAAGTCAATATATCTAAAAATCATCCGGATGAATAAGTAGCAAGGTGCAAATTAATGTGTATATAATTCTCTGATAATCTCCATGTTGGATAAATTGTAAAAAGTATGTGTTAACTTTTATAATTAAAAAATTATCAAGGTAAAATTGCCACAGATGAGGATTTTAGGAAACTACTCAGTTCTGATGAGTATTAGGAAATTTATTTTCCATAAGTTAGTTTCCTTTCATGGAGTCTCTTAAATACTGGTAAAGTATCCAATATGACAGATAATATAAGTAGATTAGCTGGTTTGTTGGTACCTGTTTGAAGTGCTGATTATAGCTACAAATAACTAGCAAAGTTAAGCTCTAGACTCTACCCTAGCAGGTTATTTTGCCTTTTTTCTTTTTAACCTTTCATTTTGCTGTTATTTATGTTATAAAAGTAATATAAGTGCATTATAAAAGAGAAAAATAAACAAAAGTAAAACAAACGATTAAACGACAATATAACTTTCCCCTCTTCTCTGCACACCCCCAAATGTCATGTCAATAGTTTGGTGTATATCATTCTAAACTTTATTTTGTAAACATAATTTTGTACACGTATATACACACTTCTTTTATTTCTGTATTTACTATTTCTCTTCATTTACTAATTTATCTTTCTACTTTAGTAAATAAATCCAGTTTATGTTCAGTTTCTTGTTTTCTATTTCTCCTACCATTGTAGGTTCCTTTTTACCGCATTTACATTTAGTATACTCTCGAATACTGCCTTAACTTGTATTTTTAATAGCATCACCCACTACATCCTCTGTCTTCCCTGAAGCAATCCTATACTTTCCCACTGTCATAGCTTTATAGCTTTGTTACTTCAGGCTGAAATGTATGGATAGGCACACATACACATTGTTAATTGTAGTGTTCAGGTTTTCTGTGTCTGATTCTTTTCTGTTTATTTAGTCATTGAAGAAGGTGTATCAAATCTTCCTCTATGATGATATTTGTCAATTTCTCTTTAGTGAGCAATGATACTTAGAGACTGTTATCTGGGTACTGTAAGTGCTCATTATTACTGTGTACATAGTTCAGAGGATATGTTTCATTTTGCTTTATATGTTTAGGAATTTCTCAGCTCTTTTAAAGATGATATTCCACTGACTTCTGGCTTCCTTAGTTGCTTTTGAGAAGTCATCTATCAGTTTGATCTTCTTTTGTTTTTTCTCTCTGGCTACTTTTAATATTTTCTCTTTTTCTTTTATACTTTGTAGTTTCTCTGGGATATGTTTAGGTATGGATGTAGTCTTTTTGTTATTTTCTTAATTCTACTTGGATTAAGTTGGGTTTCCTAAATCTGAGAGTTAATGTCTTTCATCAGTTCTGTAAAATTCTTATTTTTTCTGACTATTACTTCTTCCCTGTTTTCCCTTATTAAATGGTATTTCCTTCTGGAATTTTCCCCCACCTTTATTATTTATTTTTTTAATTAATTTATTTTTTCTTATTTTTTCAGGTGAGGCAACCCTTGGTTGACCTCACAGATTACAAGGACCTTGTCAGCCTACAATCCCTTATTATTTATTTTTTATGCCTACAGCACCTGGCCTTCCTAGGTGGTCTCCCATCCAAGTACTAACTAGGCCTGACCCTGCTTAGCTTCCGAGATCAGATGGGTTCCGGCTTGGTCAGGGTGGCATGGCCATAGACTTTCTCCACCTTTAAACCAGCTGTCTCACCATCTTCAGTAGCATCTTAACTAGTTTTTCCATCTCCAGCTTTTTAGGGTAAACTTCAGACTGGTTAACATACCATTAAGATTCTTTATGAGATGACGCCTGTTTATTTCTCTCATCCTCCTCATTTCCTCTGCTTTCTCTTACATTGTGTGTTCTAGCCATGCAGAAATATTCTGTTTTTAGAATATTTCTTTGGTCATGCTTTCTTTGTTCCTGCTGGGTCCCTGCTTGGGAACTTCCTCCTACTGCTGTTAACCAGCTCCATCTGTTAAGCCTTAAGATCTTAGTTTAGGACTGCTTTTCCTGAGAAGCATTTTCTGATTCTTCAGTCTTAAATTAGGTGCTTTTTCCTTGTTATCCCTAATATTCTATTAGTTTCATAGAACAGTTCAGGAATTTGGGCATATGAGTGAACACAAATTGAAGTAATTACAAATATGGTTTCTTGTTACTGGGGAATCAGTACTCTAAATAGTTTTTCAGCACTCTAAATAGCTTTTCCCAAGGCCTCCAAGTTGTTCTTCCTTTAACATCTTCAGTCTCTTCTTCTAGACCTTAGTAGTTCTTGACAGTCTAACCTGTTTCATCTTAATTCTATTTAATAATCATCAGTATTAATTTTTGCCTTCAGATACCTTTCGATTAAGTTGAGGAGACACAGATATGTATCGCTGCAGACAAAGGCCATGACTTTCTATTTAGCATGATTTCATCTCTGAAGGAGTAAGATTGTCTGGATCCATAGGTCCAGTTTGATCAAAGCAGTTAACTTGGCTTACTGTGTGTACGCTGCTTCACCCCTTATTGAGAGTCTATATAAATTACACAATGCATAACCTAGGTACTTGGTCTGATTCAGGTTCTCTAACAGGAAAGCCCATTTTTATTAGTATTTCCTAGACTCTTTTTTTATCTGCCTGTGTTCTTACTGTTTCTTTATGTTTGCCTTCTGCAGATTTTTCCCCCTAGTCTTTATTTATGAGTGCAAATCTTACCTAGAATTTGTTTAGCTTTTGATAACTCTGTTATGCTGTACCTCGGTTGTCACCTAACCTAGTGGCCTCACTTACTGGTCCTTTCTGCATAGAGAGTTAAATTAACTAGAATGGTAATGACAAGTACTGTCTTAACCTTGGGAAGATAGTTTTACTGTCCTTTTCTTTTTAAAACTCCATATTTACATTTTAATACCCCTGTGCTGGGTTATTCTGACTATAGTCACTTTACTGGGATTATTTAGGAAATATTTTCATAACAGCCTCACAATATGATATTATGTGAATCTTTCCTTTATAAAGATGATAGATCAAGTTCTGGGAGGGAATATCACCATTTCATCCTAATGGTGATTAGTAGACCAATGATGCCGATTCCGTTCGGGAGAAAATATAAAGTGGTGGCTTTGGTATGATAGAGTAGCCATGTTATTTATGTCATTGGGGGAATTCTCTATTTTTTACAAAATATTGACAACATAACTTTTTAAAGACGATAGCCAAGTGTATGATACATAATACAGTATATGTTATTAGAAAAGTACAAAAGCATAATTTTTTAAAATGCTGTGAATATAATTGGGATTTGGAATTGTGACTGAGTCTCATTGGTCTTTGTAAAAGTAATTTTCTTTTTGGAATGTACAGTATTGCTACAAAGAGAAAGTAGAAGTTTTTTTTTTTTTCCCCTGAGAAAATCAGTTTACTTAAAGTTGAGTTAAAACCTGTTGATAGATTGAGGAGATATATAGAGTGAAAAATACATCCTACATTTTTGCTCAGTTTTTTTGAGGTAAGAAGGAAATAATTACTTGTGGATTTCTTTTGCAGCTGAGAAACCTTAGATTCAGCACTCAGATGAGCTAGAGCTCAATTTCTGACCCCCTGCCTTATAAATCTCAACTAATTGAAATCCTTGAGATTACTATAAGCTTTCAGTGATGTATTTGAACACATTTTGACTACCATACTCTGTGTTCTCTCCTTTGTTCCTGGTGGGACCCAAACAATTATTGCTTCAGGCCCATCTGTCTTCAGTCTAGAGTTCTTGCATTCAAAGCACATGCGTATACTGGTTGACCACTTTCCTTCCCCTTTATCT